CCTGCCCGCCCTTACGCGAACAACAAAGGGCTGGGCCGGGCCGGCAGCTGCTGCCCTGCGGCTCCCGCTGACAGCCGGGCCCCGTCGTGTGCGTTGGGTTTTTATTTTATTTTTTTCTTGGAGGGTTGAGGATGTTTTTCCGTGTTTGGCCTAAAACGGTGTGAGTTGTGATCACCCTGGGGGGAGGAGGGGGACACCACCCCCCCGGCGGGGATGGCGGTGGCTTCGCTTTGTCCCCTGGCTGGCGACCGTCCGCGCCGCAGCCCGGCCGGGCGCCGCCCAGGGAGGGGACCCCGGGGCGGGAGGCGGGGGGGCCCGCGCCCGGCTCTGCCAGGGCCACGTTTTTACACTTTATTTTGCCCATTCGAGCCCAGTCTGAGATGGGGAGTTGGAGAAGACAGCTCGGGTTTTGCGGTGATACCGGATTTATATATTGCAGGGCACCAACCCGTGCTACAGTCTGAGGCGGTTCTCGGACTTGGGTCTTGGCGCAGGAGGTATCTACAGTTGCAAAATAACGAAGAAAAACGTAGATTACGAACATTTAATTCCTGCGCAATAGCCTTAATGCGTAACTGACCTTATTGACATCTTCGTTCAGGCAGGCGTTAATTAGAAAGACCTCCCCAAATATTTTCTCTTTTTGGCTTTGTGTTTTTTAATGTTGTTAGGTAGCAAAATGTCTGATCTGTAGGTCTGTCTAGCAGTTGTGTAGAGTCACAAAAAAAGACTTTTTGATTCTTTAACAAATGCTTTGTTCTAAGCGCATTGGAGCACATTTTAATGATCAAAGCAGCATCACCTAGATTAATACTACTAACTACCTTTTTGAAGGCTATTAAATCAATTATGGTGCTTTTTTTCCCCCATTAATCATTTCCTGTAGTGTTTATAACTTAAATGTAACAACAATATTAAATCTGAATTTGGAACCGGAATACGGAATTGGAAAGTAAAACCAACTAGAAAAAAGTGAAATATTGTGTTTTGATTTGCCTTGAACTACAAAGAGGTGAGAAAATGTTACTTGTGATATAAAATACTTTCACAGTTGAACATAAAACAGTATTAAGTGACAACTTCTAAAATATAATTGTAGAATTCTTGCTGTTGGCAGAAGGTGCAGTAACAATTACTCTGGGAAGTAATTGTCTCTTTCTCTTCCCCTTTTGTATTTGCACTTCACTAAAATAGGAACTTATGCCCAAAGGGTGTGCATTGGAAAGTTAAAAAGGAACCCTCAAGATTTTGACAGTTAAGCATTTTAATATAAAAAAAAATCTTTTTCTTGTTTTTTTTAATTCAGCATTGATTTTTGAACCCTTTTGGAAAATGGCTTTATTTTAATTGATTTTGAATCCCTAAGCTTCAGTGAAACGTGATAGAGAATAATATAACCCTAGGATTATAGCTATAATTGGAAGTAACACATTCAGCATTTACTGGCAGCAACAAGAAAATTGATCCATTTGATGATTCTGAGCACAAAGCCTTGTATTTTGTAAGCCAATCGACATTTTTGTTTCTTTTTTGTGAACACATAGTTTGTTCAAGCTATTTCCCTTAAAAATGTGGAAATCTCTGTTTAGGTATGCTTTTTATGTTACGCAGAGCCATGTGGGGAAATGCAGAGAATAGAAATTGTCAGTTCCTCAGAGTCATACAAGAATGCAGTATCACTTCTGCATCATGTTGCAGTTAAAGTAGTGGCAGCCTTTCTGTTGCCAAAGGGTGATGATGATGGGAATAAACATCCGTTAATGAGAATTCTAACAAAAATTGGGTTTAAATTCCATTCATTTTTTTCTCATTTAAAAAAAAAGCTATCATATGTAATTAAAAAAGGGAATAAAAGGGTTATGCCTGTCTCCAAAACTGTGTTGATATGATCTCATTTACTGTTTATTAAATTACTGTGAGATGCTAAAAGTGGCCTATTAATAGAAAATGTTTTTCTTAAAATATAAGTCTTTGTTTGATGAAAGAATTGTGTACTAAATTGTAAATTAATTTTGCTGGAGACCAGAATAGGATCTATTGAATGCTTTCTGACAAACAAGAATCAAAAATAATGCTGTATAGACCTGTATGTGGTTTAAGGCCAGTTGCTGCTTACTCTGTTTATGAGGAACTTTTTGTGATGATAGCATAAAAACCCTCACTAGTGTGCTATTTTTAAACCTTATATCCATCTGTCTATATACTTCTCTCTATATATAGTTGTATGTGTATTGATATACATCTATACACATATATGTATGTTATTTAGTTGTGAGTTGGGGGAAATACTGTATCTTCATATTCAGTTCCAAGTCCATTTAATGCAGCTCTTGTTTCTCTTGAGACGTGGATTTCTGCAGTTCTCCTTCCATCTCTTCTTCTGCTTGGCATCTGTGGCCAATAAATGCAGTTGAGTTTATTCTGAAATTAACAGCATATCTTCAGATGCATAGCTTGTGATTATTTTAACACTTAATTGTACAAATATTTATAAAAACAATGTTTAAGAGGAGTAGAAACAAGCAAGTTAAGCCAAATTAATCAATGAGCATAGTATATTCTGCACTTTATTTTAAAAAGTCATGGTGACAGACAGTGATGAGAACAAGCATGCTAAAACGATTTATATAGACAAGTTATTTAGTCTGTCTACCTCAAGGTAATGTTAACTGTGACATGTCTTAAAAAATGGGATGTGATCAATTCCATTGTCAGTGCCTTTGTCACTTAGTACAACCCCAAAGAAACATTTTTCACTGTTTAATGAGAGCATTGTACTTATTTTGATCAGATTTCAAAAAAAAATGTTTCTATTTCACTATATTAACTCTTATTTTGTTCCATAAAAGGGCTTTGAGCATAAAATGCCCAATAGATGACTTTATTCGTACCAAGTACCAGTCAAAGACAGTTTTTTTTTATTTTCAGAAGTTTTTTTTTGTGTGTGTTGGTTTTCAGTATTGAACCTGGTAGCAGTTATATCCTGAATCTCATACAGCTTCAGGTATTTTTGATATACAGAGGTTTTCCCATTAATTTATTGGGTGAAATGTTATTCCTTTCTGATAGCAAGCTATAAAAATAAGTGCAGTTTCTTTGAAAAGCTTAATCAGCAAGCAGAATCAATAAATGCCTGACCAGAAGAAGGTGCACTTGCGATAGCTTGCATTTGCTGAGATGCTTTTGCTGTCATCACTCATGGGATTTGAGTAGGGCACTTTGTTAGAGGATAAAGGCAGAATTATGGATCTTCTTGGTGGTAGAGGAATTTTTGCCGCAAGGTCTTGTGTGAGGTGCTTTGCAAACTATGATGACGTTGTACTTGTTTTGTATTTTGTGTGTGTGCATGTGCTAGACAGTTGATAAAATTAGTAATGACAGTCTATAGCAGATAGGCAAGCGTGAGGACGAAGAGTGTGTGCTTTCAGGAGCCACAGTCTATCTGGGACTGTGAACAAAAAGCTGCTTTTCAGAAGGCAAATGCTAAAGCACTGTTCATACTAAGTATTTTAATTTTCCTCATATAATATAAAAAATTTAATTTCGGATACTTGATACAGGTTTTTCTGGATTCAGTCAGCTAAGAAAACAGATGCAAGTAATAGTATCTGTGTGTTGACTTAGTCATTATGTTGTCTCTTTGAATCCAGCTTGTCTTCCGTGGACTCTGCTATTTAAATCTATCACTGCAGTATGAAACAATCTTTACCCTGGAAGCTGTGTTTTTACATGCAAGTGGAAGTGATTTTTTTTCCCCGTTTTTATTGATCTTCTTTCTTGCTTGAAGGTAGGAAGACCTAATAATGTGTATTGGCCATTGATAGCATTTGATCGTGTGATCTTCTGTTCCAAATAAGCTTTCTCTCTTTGTCCACTGAGCCATTTCGTAGTTTGGTTCCTTTGTAAATATCTGCTATAACGCCCACTTATTATATTGAGATATTGCTCCTGGGATTACACAACAGATTTAGTAAAATTATAAAGTCAATTTAGCAAAGGATGTAACTAATCAGTAATACCAGTTTCTGTAGAGATTGGTCAGGCTGGGGTGGTGGCAAAGTGTACCGTATTTTCTATGTGCTTTTAACCTTGTATTTGTGGGCACCCCAGAAAAGAACACTCTAAAAGGTAATGCTGCACTAACATTTAGAAAGTTGAGAAGTTAATTTTTTTTTGCTAATAGTTTGTATCTGCTTTTTTCATATTGTGTTTTACACATATTTCAGAAAACTTTTATAGTTATATCCAAAATCAGTCATCTTTATCCAAATCTTTATCCAAAAAATGATACTTAATCTCTTGGGGAGTGATTATACTGTTTGCATATCTTAATCCTTTGTGTTTTTGCATTATAAACACTGATTTCATGTTAGCAATACAAGATGTAAGAAGTAGTTCACCATCTCTTTAACAGAATATTATTACTAGTATTTTGTAGGAGCCTATTAATGTTCTTCGACTGGAAACAGTACAAGTTGTTAACAGAATATTAAGATGACTTTCAGCGTGACGTTATTTGTGTGTGCACCACTCCGCAGTGTAGAGGGTGGTGATTTGAAACATCCAAGGTATTTCAGCAAAAGCATCTTAGCAGTATAACTTGCAAGTTTGCTCCCTTGCAGCTGGCAGTAGCTTGAGTGATTTGCAAAGCATTTGGTTTGGTTTATGGACTAGCAGGGCAGGAAGAAAGATGGGGTCTCTGTTGAGGGTGATTATATTTTTTCTGTTTCGTTTGTCTCTCCTTGAATAGGATATTGTACTTAAGATTGAGGGGACGTTTATGAATGTGTCTTTATCAAACAATGTCAAACTGAATGATGTATAAAAGTCACAGTTGTGTCTTTCTTTTCCAGCTTGAGTAGCTTTCATTTCAGACAGACTGTAGTTACTCTCTCATCCCTCTTTCTTCAACATGTGTGGATTTTGCCATATGCTCAGCTCCAGGGACGTTGTCCTTTTGAGGGAGAAAGAATTGGTAAAAATCATGAAGTCCACTGAAATCATGATGTCCATTTCTGGCACGGAATTCCTCTGCATGGAAGATCCAGGAATGCTTTATCATTTGTATTTAGCGTTCTTCTGGATGCACCCCAATTAAATTCACCATAATGGACCTAGCTGCAGTGAAACATGGAAGGCTACAGGAGTCATAGTACGCTAGCATACTGAGAGCAACCTGAAGGTCTTGCTGGAGGAGCAACTGAGTGAATCATCAGAAAGATGTGGTGATTTTGAGGAGTGGGGTGTATTGGGTGGGCTTGGTGTGCAAGTCCAGTTGCTTTGTTAAGGCAAAATTATGTTTAACGAAGAGGATGTGAGGAAATTGTTCTGTAATGGTCTGTTTTCAGAGCTTTCTGGAGCACAGGATACTGTTGCTTACCAGGTGTTTCTGGTGACTTAAGAAATCATGCAGAGAAGACAGATAAGGTTTTTGTTAGGGTACTGCTGCATGTTTAAGCCTTGTGTCCTCATTTTTCAAAGATTTATCTGTCTCTTGTCTTTATAAAGGGCAAGAGGCATCACAGGGTGACTTTGACTAAATGTCCCAGTAATTTGCTGTTACTTAATCACATTTCCTTCCTCTTATTCAGAAAAGCAGTAAAGGCTGATTCATGATCGGATTAAATTACTCTGCTTTTAAGTCTTGTTCAGTTAGTATAATTTCTGTAACAATACTTTTATACATTCTGTAAAATCCACATGGAACATGAAATTTTAACTTAAAGTACTGCTGTTAGAATAAAAGTAACTTTTTTTTTCCCACCTGAAGGAATCCGTGCACAGAGCAGGCAGAGAGCAAAGATGCCCAGCATATGTTTAAAAACAACAGTCAGTGGGGTTTGAATTACAACGTCTGGTTGTACCTTGTGTTACACTCAGTTTCTTGACTCAGTTTCTTGATCCTTACCCAGTTGTTGTGCCAGCAAATGGCCTGGAAATGTGCAGACTGATTTGAGGAGGATGGGGAGAAGTCCACTTACACATGCAGTAATATTAGAATGTGCATGATAATGTTGCTTATCATGGCAAAAATGTTTTAGGGAATAACTGTTTATTTTGCCCTCAGATGAAGTAGTAAAGGGATGCTTTAAAATTTAAGTTTATCCGAATGATATGGGTTTAGGCTTCAAGAGTTTATAAGTAAGTGTTGCACGTTATGGAGTGGGTAACAAGGAATTGATTGCCAACCTTGTAACAAAGTGAGCCTCTATTGTGATATATCACATACACAGTGAATGATGTAAGGCTATTTTAGATGGTTGCATCATTTGCTACACTTCGTGTGAGATGAAATCTGCAGGGTAGAAAAGGTATTTTTTTGGTAGTGGAGATTGCCATTGAAAGTACTAGTTTTGGTGCAATATTTAATGGGATAGAAATAATGCTCAGTATTAATGAATGCATCAGAACTATTAGTTGTGCAGCTTCTTTTCTGTAGTCATCTTGGAAGAATTTGGTTACTATTTTTGTCTATTAATAAAAGAACAGGAAAAGGAAAGTCTCTCTTCCCTAAGGCTTGAAGGCAGAGGTGTATTTTACTAAGTGTACCTCTAGTTTATCTTGCTAAGGTAACTATTATTTACTAAGGTAAACTATTAAGTGGCTTCAAAACCAGATTTAAGGTTTTTTTTTCATTTAAAAGCTGGTCTCTCCCAAAGCCCTGTTAATGAATGTTCCTTTTATGTATGAAGAAGGAATTGCTGTTTTTCTTACTTTGATACAAACGCTCTGAAGCATGTAAGAGTAATATAACCTGTACTCAATGTAAATTGAGCCTATGCAGGAAGCTTTGCTGACAATGGTAGGAAGTAAGATATGTCCCTCTGCAATCTCCTTCCATGCCTTTTTTTAAAGGTTTGGGATATGCCATGAAAAAGTTGATTTCATTATGATGTATAGCTCTGATATTAGGAAGTGGAAACTGATATATTCTTTAATGTTATATGGAAGTGTGGGGAACACTCCTGTGCTTTGACATAAGCGCTGTTTAGAATTAAGCTGAACTGTTGACACAGATACTTTGAATTATTGATAAAGGAATTCATGTCCCAAAGATAACAATAAAATGTAAAAGACTAAAGTCAAGTTAAAAAAGTAGATGTTTTGTCTTAACTCTTAGCTACTTAAAATGGCAAGGTAATATGTATTTAAAAGTATTTGGTTATAGCTCTGCCTTTCTATTCCAATCTGGAAGAGACTTTTTCACCAGCTGTATTTCTTCTGTGAGAAAAAGGTCTTATCAGACAAGACTAAAGATTCACTGAAAGCATGGGTGCACAGGTTGATAAGTGCATGAAGAGCCAAGTGACATTTCCATTTAAAAACGTAGATTCATAGAGCTGTGAGAGTAAAAAGTGCAGGATTAGATAATGAAGATGGATTTGTAGCTCAAACTGTTTTGACTGTATTTATTTAAAAATATAGTCCTTTCAATCCACCTAAAATAGGTAATATATGGACCATGTCTTTATAACTACAAAATACTAAAACAATACTTTTTTCTTAGAATAATCATCTGTGGTTTTTTTCTCAATTAATTCGACATTTTAATTTTTAATGACTGTGTGAGTTAGTGTAACTTTAGTGTAACTAAATATGATTTTTTTTTAAATCAACTGCTGTCCAATGCATTTAGAATAATTTATTCTGCTTTTGTGTAATTATTCTGAACCATCATGATCATGCTGTTAAAATGTGTTTTTAACTTACAGTTGTCGCAGTCAGGTGTGTTTTGTAGTTATAAGCACAAGACAAATCCCGTGTTGTGCCAGTTTTTTTAGTAAACAGGCAAAATGTTCTGCTTCCTGAAGGGCTGCTTGTGACTGCTCTTTTTAGTGCTCCCAAGAAATGAAGAATGTCCTGGGTTTGGAGAAGGGTGACACGTAGTATTCGCTGTTGACAAGGGCAGGAGACTGAGATTTGCTATCATGAGCACCTACACCTGTTCTTGGAAACTGCATGGACTTAACTAAGAAATAGGCACTAGAGCTCATTGCCCAGGACTACCAAGCAATGGAAGAGATCTGTGTATTGTTTTATTATTTCAGAAAAGAAACGTGTGTTGATGCTACTGCAGGCCTGTGGATATGAAATAAGTATATTGTTTTAAATTTAGGATGAGAAAGGTGTGTACCACCAGCTTGTAACACAGTAGCCATAGGGACCCTTCCTGTAGGAACTCCTTTTGGTGTAGGTCCTCTAGACCCCAGTTTGGTCTCCTCTACCACATTAGAATGTGCACTTGTCTGCCCTGCCACCTGCTCTAGCTCTACTAATCTCTGATATGATTACAAATGAATAGAAAGGTCTTATTCTCATCCAGCTTAATTTGAAACCTGAGATGGGTAGAAGGACTTGGATATGTATAGAGAGAATGTTTTTCTTCCTGTCTCTCTTCCACTCCCTGCCACCTTGCCTGCATGTGCTGCATGTGGACTGATGGTAGTATCCAAACAGATGCCACATCTTAAAGGCTCTCAGTGTTCTTAGGATAGACACTGTTCAGTGGTCTATGAGTCTGTTCAGAGTATTTTTAGTACTCTAGTAAGGTAAAACATAGTGGGTGAGATACCTCAGAAAGGGAAGACTTTCCTCTTACACAATTCTTACACAACTGATGGCAGAATTACTGATATTTAGGAGAAAAAGCTACCTTATCTGAGAATCTCTTTTTCTGAAGCAGTATGTAAGCAAGAATGACAAAATGGGATTTGGCTGTGGTCTTGGCCATGCAGCATTACAGCTGCCTCACTAAATATGATTGAATCTCAAGGAGTGTTTGGAAGTCGTGTGTTGGTAAGTCATCAGAATTGTTTGCAGTTAAAAGGGTATAGAATTAACTACCCTAGGGTGCTTGAAATGGTAGTTAAAATACGTCTGTTTTAAGTACAGAGGGATTTATGCTAGAATAAGTTTTCACTTGATAGGACGGCTTATATAGTTATACGATACTTTTATGCCACTCTAAGTTTTCTGTTTTCCAGGCTTTGCTGTGGTTTCTTGAAGAGAAATGTCTGGGTTTTGATAGGTATTTTTGCATGTATTTGCAAATTAGCAAATGTATTTTACTAATCTACTTTTATTTCTATTTTTTTTTTAATATCTTCCTAAGAGTCTGAAGAGTTCCCTGAAAAATACGACTTTTACAGGTGGTTAAAAGGTTCCAAACATATATCAAAGCAAATTGCATGTTAACAGTGTTCCTCAGCTAAACCAGTATCCTCTTCACTTAAAATTAGTTTAATACAGTGGATAAGCTTAATGAAAGCCCCTGGGTGTTCCTTGAATGTGTGATGCAGTGTTTTCTCAGGACATATGTGATTGACATTAAATAATGACAGATATCTTTTTTGTATTATTTGTCTTGTATATCCTTATTTTAAACCACCTTGTAGGGCAGAGTTACGTATTTAGGGTTAACTCTTGAGTTGAAGGTCAACAGGAGTACAATAAGGTTTTGTGATTCAAATGTTTAGTGGTAGGAAACAGTGAGTCCAGTGGTTAGTTCTTTCTCAAGTAATTTGTGTCCTAAAGGACTTCTCAATGCTTAAAGTTGATTGCCAGTCATGTGCAACTCCATCATCTATCTACTTTGGATGAATATTTAGGGCCTCTAATATGTGCTGCTATTTGTTCTCTTTAACTGAGTTATTTTTAAAGTAGCTTGTGTATATTTGTGCTAGACTGTTAAGACAGTTTCTAAGATTGCATATTCAGAAACTTGAAGCAGGACAGAAATGCAGCAGTTTTCTGTTCATAGAAGAGTCAGTGAGAGTACCTTCTAGCTGACCCCCACTGGTACCTGCTTCCAGGTGCACTTCAAGATTTTCTGTTCTACAGGCACGTGCATGTGAATCCAGAAATCATGTGGTAAAGAGCATGACAGCATGACAGTACAGCTAAGTGCTAGATATGCCAAAAAAAGAGAATTGACCCTTGAACACCTACTGAACAGCTATATAGCCACTCTCTTCCAAGCTTGCTTATAATAGTGTCAGACATTAATATATTGGAATAAAATTCCAATATATTAGCAACTATTAGAAATAAAAGCCGTGAAGTAAATTAAAAGACTGCGATTAAAAATCTATTATGTATTGCAGTAGTGGAATTGTGGTAGGGGTGTATGGTAGTAGAAATAGCCTCATAGTAAAGCAGGTATCCTAGAGTTCTTACTTAAATATTTTATAAATTTCTTTGGAATTTGAATATTTCTGACTGCAAACCATAACAGCAATATGTTCAAACTGGAATGCTTCTTATCTGAGTCCCTTTACAAATACCTTTCTAATTATACAAGAGACATCCTTTGGTGATTCATTCTCACCATTTCTGACTAGCATATGTCACTGTGGGCTGCCTTGTTAGGAAGAGGTGGGTTAATTTAGTGCTGACATCCCTCACAGATGCCTGAGGGACCTGAGTAGTGGTTTCATTTCTTTAGTGCCATAATAACCCTCCCAGTGGACCTTCCTTGGTTGGCAATTCTCTTTTTAAGCCTGCAAAGCTTGCGAAGTTTTCAGGCTTGTCTGAGAAGGCAGGCTTCTCCTTTATGAAGAAGAGCAGCTAAAGCAGTTGGTAATTTTTCAGGATTGTGCAGCCCATGAGATAATGAACAGTGTTTGGATTTGAGCAGGGATTTAAGGACTTTTAAGTTGCAGCTAATACAAACTAAAGCATGTGCATGCAATATTTAGGGAGCAAGTTTTTTCATGTAACTAAGGAAAAAACCTGGACTGACCATTGTTAACACAGCAGTGAACTGGACTTTAAATCTATAATTCCTTCTCTATAGCAGGTGGAATTTGCAGTGCAGTGGACAGTATGCTGATGTCAGGATAGGAGCAACAGGAATTTTGTAAAGCCTTTTTGACTATAAAGCCTCCTTCTGTAGGGATAAGTAGAGGAAGAAAGATCTAACTGCTCTAGAAGGTAAAAACAGAAAAGGTCGACAGGGAGAGGGCCTGTCTCTTTTCTTTGTAGGGTTGCATTCCGTACCTTTATATTTTTGATTCATCTTCGCCTATGTAAGATTTTCAGCTTCAGGCTACTCAAAACAAATCATAATATAATGTATTCAAATGTGATATTCTTTGATAAATTGGAATGCCTTTTTATGAAATATATATAAACATTCAAATAGCATGAAGGTGTGATGCTATTCTTAAAAGATATTATAGATATTAATCTTATTCTAAAAATAATCAGATCTGGTGGAATAATGAATTACTCTGTTGTCTTCCAGTTTGTAAATTATTCTCCCAGTCATAGTTTTACAAAAGTGTAAACAAAATTTTCTGTAAATACTTTAAAAGATCACTTAAATGGACATCTGAGGACATTTTTGTAGAAATGTTTATTGCTTTCTTTTTTCACTAAAGGAGAATTTGCCCCATGTTTTCCATCATTAATGATCTTCCCCAAAGACTATTAAACGTTGAAACAAGCAGAAAAAAACGTTAGACAGGAACAAATGATCACATACTTTGGAAAGCTTCAGAAATAGAAAAACTCTGACTACTTAAAAGTCATATTTCTTTAAACTTCTCTAATATGAAATGAAATCATCTATTCATCAGATGTCCTCTGCTATTTCAATTTCCTTTTGATCAAGGGGTCAGTGCTTTGCATTCAGAATGGAAATTGTTAATTTAATGACATGAAAGCAGGCCAGATTATAATTAGGGGTGAGCTGTTTGCTCAAGTTGGATAACTCATAACAATTTCGTCTATGACTGTACTTGTCAGGAGCGTTTATGTACAAATTCGGTTTATCTGAAAATTTCACTTAAATCGGTATACAGATTTTTTAAATTTTTATTTTTAGAACAATTTTAATACACATCTGTACACTTCTGGAGTTATTTTAGTCTAGCTGTGGAAGTGCATACAATTTTTTTGTGTGTGTTAAAATGTGGCAGGCCCTAGTTTGCTGCTTAGCCAGATTGCCTCCGTTTTCAGACAATAGATTATTGCAGGATAAACTCAAGTAGGATACAGCTCCATGGTGATAAATGGATGTGCTTTTTTTTTTTTTTTTCCTCTTCATTTACATTGCAGGAAGCCAGGGCAGAAGATAATTTGAGTGTGAGTGAGCTCATAAACAGTGAGCTACCTCTTTTTATAGACACACAGACGTGTGTGTTATCAGGCTAGGGTAAGCGTTTGCCCTTAGGTTATTGGGAAGTAGTGCGTGTGTGGATGGTTGCTCATGTGACAAAGTCCTACTGCGCTCCTACCATGGTCTAGTGCAGTTTAGCTAATTTGCTTTAAATGTTATTTTATCAAAACTTCCCCAAGTGTCTTCAGCATAGAGAAGTTGTAATTTATGGCTTTTGAAGAAATCTTGACTGCTTTACAGTCTCTTCATTTTAGTTTATATTTCCTGGTACACTTGAAGATATTTATATCATGAAGGAGTAATACCTCTTTTTTTTCTGTTGTTGTTACGGAGCTTTTTTCTGGTAACACTGTAGAAAGGACTCAGTTATTTCTGGGTCATTTGTCTGTCTGTCTGTCCACATTGTTAGACTTGTTTGTCACTTTAGTAACAGGACATATGATGGTAATAACCTAGGTTCTTAAGCATCTTTTAGGAGGAGGATTTAAAGGAAGGATTTAAAATATTGCAAAAGTTGTGTAAAAGTACCGTTATATTATCAATATAAAATTCAAATTCACATATTTGAATAACTAGTTAAAGGAAAGTTTTATTACATTATTGCGTGTTCGTCATTTTATTTTGACTTTTGGGTTAACTAATGTACTCTTTCATTTCAGAATGTATGAAAACATGTCCACAATGGTGTACCTAAAGGAAGAGAAGTTGGAGAAGCTCACACAAGATGAAATCATTGCAAAAACTAAGCAAGTTATTAATGGACTAGAGGCACTGAAGAATGAACACAATTCAATTTTACAGAGCTTACTTGAAACACTGAAATGTTTGAAGAAAGATGATGAAACTAATCTGGTTGAAGAAAAATCAAACATGATTCGAAAGTCGCTGGAGATGTTGGAACTTGGGCTTAGTGAAGCACAGGTAAAACTGGAGTAGAAATAAAGCATTTCAGGCTTTGACTAAAATTTTGATATTAAAAAAAAATAAAAGAAAGCTCATTGTTTGGCCTCTAATGAGAAACTTTAAACAGAGATCAATACTTAAGGACTTATCTTTACCTTACTAAGTATTAAAAATGAGCCGAGACATTTATATTATTATCATATGTTAAGGAGGAAGACTACTGTGATGAAGCAGAAGTAAATACTAGCTGTTACAGAATTAATTGTGGCATTTGGTATTAAAGCATTGAAGTCCATAATAGATCTCTTTTTGACTTCAATGGGAAATATATTTCTTTTTGGTTAGATTTTTCCACATCATTAGTTGGGTCATGCTTGAGAAGTTCAAGAATTAGGCAATATCAGCAAACTTAAATACTTTTCCAAAGGCTAAGAATTGAATACAGAGCCTGCAAAAACTTCCACTGATGTTTCAAAGAGAAAGAATGGATACATGCTATGGAAGCATGGAATTAAACCAATCCAATCCCTGGCCATCATGGTATGGTGGTATGGACTGTCAGGCTTTAGTGTTTAAAAGCTTTCATCCTATGTGTGGGATGGAAGGACTTTTACATGGTATTGGAACTCTGAAAAGCTGGTTTTGGTTCTTGACTCTCTCAGATTACGTAGTTTCAGTTTCAGATGTTACTGCCCTGTCTACCAATCTGCTGTTTTGTAAACTGTGGCGACTGGAGATCTGAAATGTCTGCACATGCAGCCCTTGTTAGGAAAGCAACTGTGCTTTGAGCAATTGCTTGTCAGACCTGAAAAGCCCAGTGTTTCTGTGCACTTTGGGATGTCACAGTGCACAGTGCGATCTCCCATTTCTCTTGCTGCATTTATACTAGGATATGGCAATATTTTCATGAATACTTGTAGATATGTGGATATGTTGAGGTTAGTGTTACTATCATGAAGAAAAAAGAGGAGGAAAAAAAAAAAGAGGGAGATCACTTTTCTGACTGTTCTATTTTTGTCCTTAATGTGGCTTCACATTCAGACACATCAATTGTCTGTGCATTTGAATTTGTGGTATATATAAGGTGCTTAAATTTAGTTCAGTTCCACATTTAGATTTAAATAGTATAACTGTGTCTTTGAAGTATTATTGTATTATTGTTATGTTGAGGAACTGATCCTTATAAGCTGCAAACATGCATGTGAATCCTTCTCTGTCTGAAAATTGCTGAAGCAGAGGTATGGTTTAATTCTTACAGGGAAGGTTGTCTTTGTAATTCTTGTAATTTGTTAAAAATATACTTAGTTATAACTATAGTTATACTATATTAGTAGAACAAAGGTTTCTGTTTCAGTAATCTAAATTTTAGTTCATCCTTTTTTATACATGTTAACATTGCATATAATATTTAAGGCTTTCTAAAGCAGTTTGTCTTCAGACTTTGACTTCAAAAGTTGCATCACAAAAAGTCATTAATAAAGAATTCCTTCAGACTTGTTCTGTCAGAACAAATGGTAAATATATTCCAGTACAGGGAAGGTGAACACCAAATAGGTGTGTATAAAAAGGTAAAATCTAAACCAGACTTCACAGCTGACAGAGGTTCTAACTATAAAAACCTTTTTGTGTTAAATAAGGACTACATTTAGAGGACATATTCAGAGGATATTTTCTGCTTTTTAGGTAATGATGGCATTGTCAAATCACTTAAATGCAGTGGAGTCAGAGAAGCAGAAATTGCGTGCCCAGGTTCGACGGTTATGCCAGGAAAATCAGTGGCTACGGGATGAACTAGCCAATACACAACAGAAACTACAGAAAAGTGAGCAATCTGTGGCTCAACTGGAGGAAGAAAAGAAACATCTAGAATTCATGAACCAATTAAAAAAATACGACGATGATATTTCACCATCAGTAAGTAGCTGTTCAGTAAAAAGTAGTTTATATTTGGATGTATGTTATAAGATGCCTAATGATCAAGAAATTTTGCAAGTCCAAGTTTTTTATTTGTGTGTGTGTGTATATATATATATATATGTATATAAAATTTGTAACAGAAAAATAACTGCTCCTAAAATGTTTACCTTGTACCAGTGTTACAGGTCACAAAGGATGTGACAGATTAGCTTTTATTTATTCATTTACTTATATTTTACTGCATGTAGGTGGTGATAAAATAGATATGAGGGTGAAAAAATGCTGAATAGTTAGAATGAGCGTTAGCTGAAGAGCTGAACTCGAAGCCAGATATTTTCTTTTATATTTCCTTTGCTGTTCAGTGGTAGTATTGTAAGCATGTACAGGACTTGGCTTATTTTTAACTGCAGGAAAAACAATTAATTTTGGTCCAGTGAAGCAGTGTCTAGCCTCAGCATCTGTTGAGAATGTACACTGGGATAAAAGGTCTTTAAATCTACTTTCTTGACCGTTATGATCTTCTGCATATTTTCAGTTGCTGCTTACTGTTGTGTTAATAACATGTATTTTTAATTTTTGAGAGAAAAATGGATGCAATTTTAATTTACAGAAATAATTTACTACTAAAAAATTCTTCTAACTCATTTGTTCTTCATATTATCTTTTTATTTTGTTTCTTAAATTGAATAGTATTGCAGAGAAGGATCTTATTTGGTATGTTCTAACCTTCTCAGTCATGTCTTGGAAAGAACAGTTTTTCATAACAAAGTATCTCAGTATCATAATGAGGGCAAACACATGCATTTTAGTCATGCCTAACCAACTACTGGACCAAATTCTTTCTAACATAGTGTGAGTTCTTTTTAGTCAGCTGCATGCAGATTTTCTCACTCCTGTTTCATGAGGTGTTGAAATCTGTCAGTGAAGCTTGTTTAGTACTGTTACTGAACTGTTTTTAAAAGAAAGGGTAAGGAGGGGGAAATACTGAGATTTTGATGTGCTAAATGTGAAACTATAATCTTTGGATGGCCTAAATAGAACCATTACTTGACTTGGACTGAAAATTTGAAATTTAATTGACAGATAGGGACTAGGCAAGCAAAGCATCTTTATAGTTTCAGCAGTTATACAAACAGTCTCAGTTGACGATCTTTGAAAACAGTTGCAGATATCCACTTGGTTAGAGCTTAGAAACAATACACAAAATTGTAATCTTCTCTCATGACATCCAGCCTGTCATCTACTGCTTTTGTAGAGAACTCACTTTTCCAACATAGAATATATGTGCCAACAGCAGCAATCCCGTTTCTTTCATCTGTGGAAAAAGATGTTGGATGGATGTAAAGGGCAGGGGGGCAAATCCCTGGTGTTGGGTTTTCTACTTATGGAGATGGATATTTCTGACAACTTCAGCTATTTGTTTGTGTAGGCTGTAAATATAGGAAATGGGACTGAGAGTTCCTCTCTTTCTTTAATTGTGGGATTTTGAATGATTTTTGAATGTTAAAATTTTTATATATTGATGAACTGTGCTGAGTTTTAATATGATATGAGAATGGAGCTGAACTTCCTTCCAGGGGGTTGTGTGTTTTTTTGATGTTTTGTTTTGTTTTACTTTTTGAATCTTATGAATCACAATTGCAAAGTGTATTATTAGTGCAGGAACTGATTACTCAGAAACTGAAATGAAGGAATTAAAGTTGTTGGTGCAATCTTACTCGCCTTTGGGAGATGAATCTCCTTATTCCTCTCCCTCTTGCAGTAATAATTGCATATATGACCTCAGAATTACTGTGCACTATAGTGTATATCTTTGTAAGAGTAGCAAATGTGTTCTTGGGTGTTAAAGTTAAGACTGAAATCTAGGAGACCTGATTTCTATTCTTGGATTTTTTTTTTAAGATGTCCTGTATTTCGTTGGGACAGAATATGTAAATGCATTTGGACATGAAACTGTCCTTAAACTTCTATGAGAATCTTATTCTTGGCACTTCCTATGTTTTGACTGTGGGATTTCCCTTTAACATTGCTGGTTAAAGAAACTGTTCCTCCATATAGAACTTTATTTAAATATTGCATAAACCTCTAATTTAATAGTGTAACAAATTGTTTGGGTTTGGGGGTGTTTTTTAGGAGGATAAAGATACGGATTCCACCAAAGAGCCTTTGGATGACTTATTTCCAAATGATGAAGATGAACAAGGACAAGGGAGTAAGTACACTTCAAATTACTTTGTTAGTGTGTTTCTGCAGTACTGAAGCTGCAAATGCTGTTCAGAAATTTAATAATCCATATGTAATGTGCAAAAAGCTAGAGCAAAATGGTGATTGTCTCTTGAAAATAGACATATATATTGAATAGTCCTGTATACCTGCCATCAAAACTAGATTTTTGAGGGAAGTTTGCTAGCTGTGGCAAAGTTCTTGGAACTCTTTTTGGAGCTAGATTTGTTCCTTGGTCTTGGGAGTCCCTGAATGGAAAAAAGCTTGTTTCAAGTGACTGAGGCAGATTCTGAAACATTGAAGCTGCTTATTGGTCTGCCCAAGCAGTGAATTCTATTAATTATCTCTCTGATTCAGCATTTCGGGGCAGATTTTGATGTGAAATCTTTCTTATAATCTTTCAAAGCAATCCTTTGTCTTGCTAAGATCGTCCTCCTTATTCCTCACTCTAGAAGCATTGTCTTCAAGGCAGAAGGATTGGTGAATATGGATACAATGAAGTTTGAGGTAGCAAAATTGTGACATGGTCGTAGGAAAGGCTTCCTTAATGATTTTTTGTGCTTTTCTTTTGAGTGTGAAGCTGATATTATGCAATGGGTTGATGTATATGCAGTAGTGTAGTGGTTCTTAGTTGATAAATGGCTAAGCCAAAATGTCTGAAGGGCCCCTCCTTAGTAATCATCAGCCTTGAATTTCCTTCTTGGACACACATAAGATGTGGTCTTGATAGCTTGGCAGGGAAGACCAGCAATGGAAGGAAGACATGAAGAGGTTAGAATAGTTTAATGTTGGTCATAAACTCCATCCTGAGCTCAAACTGGCTTCCCAAGAATTTTGTGGTGGGAAAGTTGAGTATCAGAGTTATTTTTACAGTAATATAGTCTATCCCAAATTCTGCTCCACAAAAGAGAAGGGTGTCACTTTAGTAATTTATTTGAGCTTCAGGAAAAATGCAGAAATATTTAAGTGCTTTGGAAGGCAGTGACTGTGAGCATAGGTTTGGAATTGTATGATTACACTGACAGAAGGCTTCCACTTGCTATAAGAGTAGTTTGCTTAATAGAAAGGAGAGAAAAAAGGGCAGACTCACCACTGTCCTGTCCTGTGTGTTGGCTAGAATTTACTGCAGGAAAATGTGGCTAAACCCAAGGATTTATAGATCCTGTCAAAAGGTTGAACATGGCTTTGATGCGCTGCTTTTTCTCTTGTAACTGTTATTCATGGCATCCAAAGGGGTGTGTTTCGTTTTTTTTTGGGTCCTTTATACGACAACCCTGAGCATTTCCTGGAAGGTATGGCAAACAAAAGAAAACAAAATGAAAAAAGGTGTGCTTTTGGAGAGGAGAGTGAAAGATAAAGAACAGAATCCATTCAACTTTTCTGCAAGTGTTTGGCTTCACTGTTTTAGTGTTCCTTTCCATAGGGAGTCTTGGATATTTTTAAGTTTAAAATTACAATATGAGATATGTTAATAGCTTGCTGAGCTGGAATAGCTCATCCGTTTCTTCATCTGTTTTTTACATTTTGTCCCTCTAAGTTAATAGAAGCGTGAAATACTAAAAGTCTCTTCATTCAGCTAGGATAGAGTATGAAGAAAAAAACTGTCCACTGCTGTTACTGTTCAAGAGATTGTAACCGTGATGAAATGTATTCTAGTGCTAATGTCTGGTATTGAGGAAATCTAGCGATTCTAGTTCCATGTCATTGATCAGTAACATTAGTTGTTTTCCAATTGCGGTTATCTTTTTAAGTAACTTAAAATCTCGTGTATTTCTTCCAGTTCAACAACAGCACAGCAGTGCAGTTGCCGCTGCCCAACAAGGTGGCTATGAAATTCCAGCAAGATTAAGGACCCTTCATAATCTTGTTATCCAGTATGCTTCCCAAGGTAGATATGAGGTTGCTGTACCACTTTGTAAACAAGCTCTTGAAGATTTGGAGAAGACCTCAGGTCATGATCATCCTGATGTTGCCACCATGTTAAACATACTTGCTTTGGTGTACAGGTTTGTATTCTGATGTAGAGCTATATCAGCTATCTAAGCAGTTAATATTTGACTTTAACCTGTTAATGTTTGTCTTGGTTGATTGTTTTGATTCATTGATTTATTTCATCACTATTTTTGTAAAGCCTTGAGAAAATCTTTGTACATTTCCTTACTCTGTATGCTTCCTTACACTAAAAGTCAAACAAATTGTGGAATTTTTGCCTATGCTCTTGTTTTGAGAAAGGCACTGCTTTTGAAACTGTTCCTCTACCTTTTTTTTTTCCTACCGAAGAGCATGTAGGTTACCCACTTCCAGGAAATGCAGGGTTGTAAACTGGACAGCAGTGTAGAGGTAGTACAGTTCTAGTCCTCCAGCAAAATACTTTACATGTTAATGAATCAGAAAGTTAAAAACTGAAGTCCATAACTGTGCTCTTGAATTCTTCTTCTCTGTACTGGAGTGTTTAGCACAGTACTGAAGCCAACCCTTATTTTTTATGACTTTCTGAATCTCCAGTATTGTTAATTATGATATTTTAAATTTAGGGACCAGAAC